CTCATCTCTAATTGCATCCAACATAGTGGGGATTGTGAGGATTGAAATCTAGACAATTTATATGGAGTAAGGTACCATCCTAACATAATTTTATGAGTAAAATCCCATAGTTTAGCACACTTAGTCGAGGTAAATGTGTACCGTAGGGCTTTTTGCCATTGTATATCAGAATAGGAACTGGTAAGATCCCTTTCCCAGGCTAAAATAGAGTGTGTTTTTGTAAACAAAGATTTCCCATCTAGAAAGTTATAAATTATCGATACCCCTCCCTTGCGGATAGTTGTGTAGTAATGTCCAATTATCCATGGAAGCTCATACTTAATGGGGATATTCTTGGGGGTATAAGACGCTACCCTGAGATAGGAGTAAAATTCTGAACTAGGTAGTTGGTAATCCAATTGTAGAGAGGCAAAGGATTTCAGAGAGGATCCTACAAACAGATCTGATGCCTGTTGTATACCACATGATTTCAACTGTTCTAGATCAATATCAGTCAATAATATGGAGTATATGGAGATTGGGATAGTCAGTGGAACAGCTGGGGCGAAATCTTTTTGCCTATAGAGACGATTAGCGTTTGCCACGTGTTCAACGTCGCTAAAATTGGTAATGAAAATTTCTTTGGAATAACAGTGAGGTGAAGATATGCTAATAGGAACGTGTATATATGCCCACCTGGGATTTGTGTTTGTTCAATTTTCCCCCATAAGGAATTAGGTGAGTTCGGAAACCAGTACCACAATTGTGCTAATATTGCAGCTAAATGAAGAACCATCAGTCCTAGCCACCCTGCGGACCTTTCTTTAATCAATTCCGTAAATGCACAACATGCTTTTTTCCCTCCCATAGAAATATATGTAATATAGACTGCAGGGTATGGAAAAATGTCTTGCTAGCAGGAATAGGTACCGAGTGAAGTACATACAGAATCTGGGGTAGTAATTGCATCTTGAATGCTGCTGATCTACCAGACCATGATAAAGCATGTTTGCTTAAATGTAGTAGACCTTCTTTTAACTTGGTTTCCAAAGGTAGATAGTTGACTCTAAATAGTTGGTCAGGGAAAGATGTTAGGGTAATACCCAAATAAGAAATTTCTGAGTCTTTCCATAGGTAAGGGAATTTAGACTGTAAGCTGTGTCTGTGTTGTGGTAGTACCCCCATGTCAAATATATGGGATTTGGTGTCTTTTACTTTGTAATATGATACCATACCATACTTTTGTAATAACTGTCACACATATTCTAGAGAAGATAGTGGTTTAGTTAGCATTAAAATAACATCATCTGCAAAGAGGCTTATAACATGTTTGCTACCTTTGATCAGAAAACCAGTAATGTCAGGGTGTTGTCTAATACTAGAAGCCAAGGGTTCCATTATGAGATTAAAAATTAACCCCCCTGGCGGTATTCCTGAGTGTAGCTCGGGGTTAACTTTCAGTACAAAAAGCGATAACCCCGAGCTACACATCGGGATTACCCTGCAGCATCGCTCAGGGATTCCCTTCAGCACTTACCTTGTCCTGCGCTCCCGCGATGTCCCCCCTGCAGCGTCCCCAGCCATCTCCTCCGGCTGATGCCGGCATCCATCTTCCTGGTTCCTGTCCCTGCGAGCATCGGGACATACGGGACATAAGGGGGACGCAACCGGCAGGAAATTTAAAAATGTAAAAAGTGACATTCACTCAATACACTAAAATCACATAGTAAAACATTACTGTATCAAAGCATTTCACATACATTTTGTCCCTAGTGCTTTGTCCTGTGCCCTGCCTGCATTTTGACTGTTCTTTCTGCCTGGAAACTGAGAAACGTCCATGACATCCAAAAAGCGTCCCTTTAGGTCAAAATCGGTTTTAGACCAGCTAGAGAACAACGATAGTAAATTAGAACCACTTGCAGAATTGAGCGGTAATGATTTGTGGGGAAATTCGTCATCAGACACTGAAAACAATTTTGCGACTAAGCTCAGTGATGTGCGAACTTGGCGCTATATTTCAAATTTCAGTGTTTTTGGTTTGATTACATTATTGAATTAAATGTATTATTATTTTTTTTTATGATTATTTATTATATTATAAGTTATGATTTCGTGTTTCAAGTTTTATCCTACCCGGATGTTTACTAGACTCTTGTTCGGACAGATTTCAGTGAGTTATTCCTAAGAATTACAGGCCTACAATAAAAAAACAACATATTTCCATGCAAAAAAATGTACTGCTTTGAGCACAGAAATACTGACATAATCAGACCGCTAGGGAGGTTAATGGAGATAAGGGGCATCCCTGGCGGGTGCCATTAATTATATGGAAGGGATTCGATAGTACTCCTGATGTATATTACTCGTGCAGATGGAAGAGTATACATATGCCCCTGAAAGCTGAATTTAAGAAGCACTTTTTCCAGAAACAGCCAATTCACTCCTTCTCCACGTCCAAAGCCAGCAGCAGAGAAGGTGTCTGATACCTCCTTACAAGGTAGATGATATCGATCAGCCTCCTGGTAGCGTCAGAAGTCTGCCTCCCTTTGGTAAAACAAGATTGCTCTGGGTGAATTAGGGTAGGAAGAATGTTTACCAACCCAAGCGTATATTTTTAGGTCATTATTCAGGAGTGATATAGGCCTAAAATTAAGAGGGATGTCTGGTGAATTCCCTGGTTTTGGTAAAGTTACTATCATAGCCTCTAGCATTTCTGGTGGGAAGGAAGTCGATAAAGCAGCTTGGTCATATACTCTTTTGAGATAAGGAGATATATTTTTAAGCTGTTTATAGTATTCCCCAGTCAGACCATTAGGGCCAGAGGACTTGTTATTGGGTAGTGTATCTATGACCTGTAACTACTTCAGGTAATGAAAAGGGAGAGTTCAATTTTTGAATCTGTGGTGGAAAGAGCTGTGGTAGATTTAAATTAGTTAAGAAGTTGTCTATAACACCTGATGAAGGTTGGGTAACCTGATTATCTTGTCTCAAGTTTTAAAGAGAGCTGTAATACTCGCTAAATACATCTGCAATTTGCGGGGGGTCATATACTTTGTTGTTAGACTTGGGGTTGATGGTATGGAATGGTATTCTCGTTTTAAAACTCTGACCTTGTATTATGCGTGCTAATACCTTACCCGCCTTATTACCGGAGGAGTAGAAAATCATTCTCAATCTGTTATATATTTTTTTATATTTTTCATAGTTATTCAACAGTGCTAACCTTAATTTGTGCCTTAATTTAGAAAGTTTGGTAGTTTTCTGGTGGGAGGGTTTTATTTTGTTTTGATTTTCTAAAGAGCGTATGTATGAAAGAAGGATGTCTATTTGTCACTGTCTCTGTCTCTTTGCCCTCGCACCCAATTTGATAAAGATACCTCAGATATATGCTTTGTGTGCATTCCATAAGATAAATGCATTATCAGTGAAAGGAGAGTTGAGATCGAAATAATCAGTCACGTGGCTCTCCAAATTTTTTGTAGTGGCAGAATTTTGCGTGAATTGTGGGTTAGAATATTTAGGATATGCGTCTGCCACTGTAAGAAGTATTGACGCATGATCTGACCATGTGATATCATTGATTTTAGCTTGATTTATTTTTTTGAGAAACCACTTGTCTGTGAAAAATAAATCTATCCTAGAGCAGGTGCAATGCCTATTAGCCAGAAAATGATAATCTCTTTCATTTGCGTTAGTGCAACGCCATGCATTATACAGGTCGTGAGAGCGCATAAAGGGTAGTAGAAATGGAGTTTTTGCAGAAGTAGCTGATGTAGAGTCAATTTGAGGGTCTGGGGTGATGTTAAAGTCTTCACATAGCAGAATTGATGCTTGCTGTACTTTCCTGATTTTTCACATCAGACCATTGAGGAAACAGACTTGGTGTGTATTTGGAGCATAAACACCCATCAAAGTAAATTGAGTGTTATTAACCACTTGCCTACCGGGCACTTATAACCCCCTTCTTTACCAGGCCAATTTTCAGCTTTCAGCGCTGTCGTACTTTGAATGACAATTGCGTGATCATGCAACATTGTACCCATATGAAATTTTTATAATTTTTTTCTCACAAATAGAGCTTTCTTTTGGTAGTATTTAATTGCCGCTGGGCACTTTACTTTTTGCACTATAAACAAAAAAACAAAAAAAGTGCAAAGATTTTGAAAAAAAAAAAGTTTCTTTGTTTCTATTATAACATTTTTCAAACAGGTAATTTTTCTCCTTCACTGATGTGCGTTGATGAGGCAGCACGGATGGGCACTAATAGGTGGCACTAATGGACACTGATAGGCAGCACTGATAGGCAGCACTAATGAGGTGGCACGGATAGGCGGCACTGATAGGCAGCACTAATGAGGTGTCACGGATAGGCGGCACTGATTGGTGGCACTGATAGACAGCACTGATAGGTGGCACTGACTGGCATCACTGCTGGGCACTGACTGGCGGCACTGCTAGGTATTGACTGGCACAACTGCTGGGCACTGACTGGCACAACCGCTGGGCACTGACTGGTGGCACTGACTGGCAGCACTGCTGGGCTGCACTGATGGGCACTGGTGGCTGGCACAGGTGGGCACAGGTGGGTGGCACTGGTGGGCACATGTGGGTGGGCACAGGTGGGTGGCACTGCTGGGCACAGGTAGGTGGCACTTCTGAGCACTGGTGGGTGGCACTGCTGGGTGGCACAGGTGGGTGCACTTCTGGGCGCAGGTGGGCGCACTGCTAGGCACAGGTGGGTGCACTGCTTGGCAGAGGTGGGCGAACTGCTGGGCACAGGTGGGCGGAACTGGTTGGTGGCACTGCTGGGCACCGATCATAAGGGCACTGATCATCAGTGCCCTGATGATCGGTGCCGATCCCTGCTCTGACAACTGCCCACTGATGAGCACTGGGTGGGTGGCACTGGTGGGCACATGTGGGTGGGCACAGATGGGTGGCACTGCTGGGCACAGGTAGGTGGCACTTCTGAGCACTGGTGGGTGGCACTGCTGGGTGCACTGCTGGGTGCAGGTGGGCGCACTGCTATGCACAGGTGGGTGCACTGCTGAGCAGAGGTGGGCGAACTGCTGGGCACAGGTGGGCGGAACTGGTCGGTTGCACTGCTGGGCACTAATCATCAGACCAGTGATCATCAGTGCCCTGATGATCGGTGCCGATCCCTGCTCTGACAACTGCCAGTTCTCGGCAGTACTTTCCTCACGCTCTGACAGCGTGAGGAAAGTGCAGCCGAGACCCGGCAATTGCATTTCCCGGTGTCATTGGACACGGCTGATCATGTGGTAAAAGGCCACTGTGATTGGCCTTTTACCACATCACGTGATCAGCTGTGTCCATTGCAATGTATGCTGTGATAGGTCAGTATAAAACTGGATGTGAAGGCTTTGTAATGCGGTGTATCCTGTCTATAGTTAATTCCAGTAGAGATAGGTCTAGAATGAGGGATGAAAACATTGTAGTAACGTATGAATGGAGTGCTACCGGTTGAACTGTTTCTGAAATTCCTCTAATTTTAAGATTATTCCTCCTGGACCTATCTTCTAGGTCAGCGAGCTTTGCTTTTAACCAGATATGTTCCTCTTCAGTGGTGTCATGTGCATCTATTAGCTCATTATTGAGGCGGGATATTCCACCATCTTTGTCTCAATATAATTCACTCTATCACCTACAGCAGTGAGTTCAGTGTTGAACTTCTTCATACAAGCCATCATGTCTGTATGAATAGTGCTTCTGAGAGAAATTAACATGTCTTTTAAAGCAGTATCTAAAATTGATTGATTAGAAGTGGGGAAAGATTTAATAGATTCTGGGAATTCTTTAGTGTCTTCTTGTGAATCAGGGTTAGAACTCACCTCACGTTGCTGCAGATTAGAGTCATCCATCCTGATTCTAGATTTCAAAGAGCTTCTTAATGATGGTGTTGAGGCTTGTGATGTTCCATCATAACATTGGTTGTTCCTATGGAAGTTGTTCTGATCTCTGTGTGGGGATCAAGTGTTCGATGGAGAGGAGGAAGATAAGCTGGCGCCATCTTGCCCATGCCACTGCTGAGGCTGGGAAAAGTAGGCTGTCAGTTTTTGGGGCTGGTGACACTCTTTCCTTTTCCTGGGCATTTTGCCTGGAAGCAGTGTGGCGCTATTATTCCCTGCCGGGTGTTGGAGCTCTGGATCTAAGCCACCATCTTCGGTTGAAGTCAAGCCACTCCTGATTTCATGTTTCTTGAACTATAGTGAGTCATCTGACTCCTTACAACATTCTCTGAACCCTCTTTCCCCACATTTTTTTTGATGAATTCAGCCACAGATGTCCAGAGGTGTACAGAAGAGAAAAACAAATCAAGAAAAAAAAAGTTAGCACATGGCCACGAGTACCATTATGGTAATTACATCCCTGTTCTCTTATATTACTATTATATTGATACTCATATTGATAGACACATGAATGCTACCTCTTAACATTGACTGGTTGTGTTTTAGCAGATGAATGAATAAATGAACACATGAACAAGAGAAACTCCAAACAAAACAAGCCAAGTATAGTACTACCGAGCTGCTCAGATGATTACAGTGTTTCAGATATGCCTTATACTACCCTATGTTTTTCTTAGGCTAGCCATAAATGGGTAGATGTCTCCCTTAGAACAACAAGTAGGGAAACATGTACTATATGCCTGTCCTCAGTTGCAAAAAGACTCCCATTGTTACACCATTCACACAAAGAATAATAGTGGCTTAGGCTATTACTTCCAACACTGAAAGCATTTGTTTTCACTCCAAAAGTATACGTATAAGTGACCATTGACCTAATCCTTGTTCTAGCAATGTAATGGTGGGATCAGGCCATTTATAATTTTTTTCTCACGCGTGTGCACAGCTACTTCTTTATACTTAAATGTTTGACTCCCATTAGCCTCCCATTAACCACTTGTCTACTGGGGCAAATTTTTGTTGCACACATGGTAATATCAACATTTTTTAGATAGAAATTACTTTAAACACGCAAACAATTGAATTTATTCTGAAAGCAGAAGCCCTGTACAAAAATGATGGATTATTAAACAGATATTTTTTGGAAAAAATACATTAAAATAGATTTTTTGTGCTAACAAACATAACATAATATCAGATTTTTGGTAAAATATGAAATATGGGGCTGTGTTGAGGAAATAAACACCAAACATGTCAAGCTTAAGTTTCTGTACACCTGTGAAATTGCAAAAAAATATGATCCCCAAAATTCTCTGTAGTCATTGTTTTGAAAGCTTTTACAGGTCATCAGTTTAGAGCAGGGGCGGACTGACAACTCATGGGGCCCCGGGGCTATAGGGGATCATGGGGCCCCTGTGTCCTTGCCCAAACTCAAAAAAGCCTATGAAAAAGGTACCAGGGACATCTCATGGGGGCCCCCTACTGACCCCGGCCCTCGGGCAGTGCCTGAGTTACCAAATGGTCAGTCCGCCCCTGGTTTACAGTTACCTATAAACTAAGGCCCCATATTTGCAGAGATACCTCCTCTGCTGTTTTACTTTTTTAATATAAGGACTACATATCCCATGATACCTTGCTGCCTGCAAGCAGTGATCCCTATGCTGACTCCACCTCCTGAAACTCAACCTCTCAGCATCTTTGTAGCTCAGAAGGCAGACTGTGAATTCTGTGACACAGTAGTGCCACTTACAGAGTATAGTGAATATGTGTTAAAAGGAAGTAAATGTGTGGGAACCTTCACTAAGTAGTTTACAGACTTCAAGATCATTCCGTTTAATAGGAGAAGGCTAGAAATAGCCAAAATACAATGTACAAATGAATATATGATTTTACATTTTGACATTAGATACGCTTTAACACTGACAGGACCTATCTAGCTACATTTGTCCTGTATTATCTTTTCTGTTCTTGCAGAAGTTCAAAGTGGTCATCCATTTGGGGAAGTATTAGTTATCTATAATTTCAGGGGTGAATGCAAATCACTCAAAACTTAACATGACAGCATAAAAAATGTTTGCATCATGCTACTCTAGTGAAAAATGTGAAGTTAAGGAATGAAGACTTTTGCCAACTCCTCTCTTACAAAGCAGAATCTCAGAGTGACAGATATTCAGCACATGTAAAAAGCATGTTTCATGTGATTACATATAGGTGAAGTTACACCTTGTACAAGTAAAATTGGTACTTTACTTACAGTATGTTGGTGCTAAAGATATATTTTATTGAAAATCCATGAAAGTGGACATAACCTACCCTCCCAGTTCATGTTTCATGTCTGGAAGTCCTTTACTGATATGTAAGGAATTAAGAGGGCATTCAGCTTTAGATATAGTTGTTGTCAACTTTATCAATCATATACTAAAGACTTGTGGAATTAACATTATTGGAATTATGTCAGTTAGAATTAAGGATGTGTGAGTGATTTTCACATTGAGAGATGGATGAGGGGAAAGATAGGTGCAATTGACGTATAGTGATTTTTTTTTTTTTTTAAGGTAATTGATCAACTTGTAAAGCAATTGTTATTCCAGTAATATTCTTCTTGAACAATTAACCTTAAAAATAAACCAATTGCCAAGTCCTTGCCCTAACTCTCAACCTACTCTCAACTCTTTCTCTCTGAGATCTTGGTTTAAATGTAAGCCTAACCCTCTGTCAAACCATAATCAACCTGCAGTAGTAATGCACGTCTGTGATAATGGAATCAAGTACTTCCAGAATTTATCTTCTTATCACCCAATTTGAGTGAATCAGTTGTTCACTAGGCTATTTATACACATAAATGTATACTCAGCCATTTCATTTTCATAATAGCTACTGTAGTTCCCCCCAGGGGCGGACTGACAACTCATGGGGCCCCCGGGCAATAGGGGATCATGGGGCCCCTGTGTCCTTGCCCAAACTCAAAAAAGCCTATGAAAAAGGTACCAGGGGCATCTCATGGGGCCCCCTACTGACCCCGGGCCCTCGGGCAGTGCCCGAGTTTCCAAATGGTCAGTCCGCCCCTGATTCCCCCCCACAGTGGCTTGACTTTTCAATGTACCAGAGAAACGCAAAGTATGGCACAAGTATAAGAAACAGCTAAGACAGACACGGAAGACGAAACATTCAGACAGACATTCAGTCCCCATTTTTAAATGAAAATATCAACTTTTTGAGCAATAGTGGGCAAAAGCTACAATTTGTTTAACTGCAGCAGCCAACTGCATGGTTTTGCCATCATACCTCTTTTAATATGCCATAAAAACTCATGCAATGTATTGGCAGATAATCAGAAGAAAAAAAAGATTTGTGTACATCTTTGGATCACACCTCACAAGCAGATGGCAACTTTGAAACTGTCATGACACTTAGTTGTGGCTGATGGCACACATGAGGGCAATCCAAGCATAAACAACAACAAAATGGAGTGCAACTGTTTTGTTACTTGGCTGTATATAATTTTTCCAGGGATTTTAACAGATGTGATGACATGATTCATTGAAATATTGTCAAAATAAAAGCAACAAGTTGACAAATCTAGCAAGGCAGTCAGATTTCCCATTGGTGTGGTTCCAACCAACCGTGGTAATGTGGGACTTCAAATCAGTGTCATTCTTGACAACCTGATCATTTTAGATGGCATAATATCAATATTTCCCCAATCCCTGATGTCAGGCGGTGCAGCTTTAACATGTTATTTTGTGTATAATTTTAAAATGCAGCTCATCAATGACACAGCTAATTGAAATATTCATTTTTACTACATAATGATAAACACATTTAACAGCTGCACACAAAAAATCATTATTTTTATTATGACATATGTAAAATAAGGATTTATAGGGTTTTCATTTTTTTTTCCCTTGTAGGGGAGCAAGAAAAGTCCACCGTATTAGCTATCCTACTCCACTGCAACCTTTTGCACCCTTACTTGTTTGTACAACAAGACACAGATTAAAAAAAAAAGGCTACAAGGGAAAAATTGGTGTGCTAAGGCAACATCGTTAGGTAAAGTTTGTTGTTGTGGCGAATTTAATTTTTGGGACATTCTAAAAGGGGCATCAGCAGGACTGGATTTGCCATTAGGTACAGCGTGTGCTTATAGGCAGTAATTGGAAAAGCAGTGTGCAGTCACTAGCAGCGGGTGCACAAAATAAATCTAGCAGTTAGATTATAGTTGATTTTCTCAGTGATAAGAAGTTCACTAAGCCTCCTCTGGCAAATGTTTTGTGTTTCTGTAGGAAAATTATTTTATTGAACAGGAACTCCGGTGTCCCTTTTTGATGAGGGCACCAGATGCCAATGGAAAT